CAACCAAAACAATTCCATGATTCTAAATCCCAGGAGGCACAACCGCCCTGCAAGGAGAGCGCTGTCACCGCAGGAAGGGAAAGGCTCTGCCGAGGATTCCTCCCTGCCCAGACAGGCAGGGACACGGCGCTCTCACCTCTCATGTACAGCTTTGTCGTCTCAACGATCTCTTGATACACCACGAACTCCGGGAGTTGTTTGAAGAGGACTGAGCTTGGATGGATGAACACGGGGTCGTCCAGGAGAGCAGTCTGTAAGGAAGCACAGAGGATCGAAGCAGAGTCAGACGAGTTACTGGCACTCCAATTTCTCGATGGCATCTCCTTCCAGTCTCTCAGATGCACAGCTATACAGTTTCCTTAAGCGATGGTGGTTTTTAATAACCCCTAATTTTCTGCTTCACCTTCTCTGGAGACATCGAGCCCTTTCCAAGATGGACTAATGCTACTACTTAGCTCTTCCATAACAATTCCTACGTGAGGACTGGGAAATTGCAACACTGGAAATTTAAACTCTATGAAGAGAAGCTGCAGCGAGCGAGCAGGTGCAGGCCCGATGCAGCACCCAGCCAGAAGCCCGGGCATGTCTTTCTGCCACACAGGGAAGAGGAATTCAGTCCAGATAAAGCCATTTACCTTGTAGGCATTTTTCCACTTGTCATCCAGGAGCTCTTCTGCCTGAACCCTTCGGGCAACATGATCCCCCAGCCCTGCCAGTACAATCTGCCTCAAGTAAGTTGCTTGAGCTTCTGTTGGGGGCTTCATCTTTGGATCAACGTAGAGCCCGGCATCAGCACAGACGGAGTTCACTGCATGGAAACGAGCGAGTTAAGGTGCGATGGAAAAAAGGAAAGGTTGCACCACACAGCCCAGTCGATTTGTCACCCCCGGGAAAGGGAATAAACACGGCAACGCCACGTGCCTGCTGTCGTCAGCTGCCCTCTCAAGCGCCTGACCTCCAGCATGGCCTTGTATCGGAGCCCGTTTTCCTCACAGAATTTTCGGGTACACCCAGCATATTCGCAGGCCCCCACAGCTCCTGGAAGTGAAGAATCCACAGAGAAAAGGACTGAGCCCATCAGTTCTCCCGATCAAACCAAGCGCGGGACAGCCCGTCGCAGCTAGCACGTGCGTCGTGGGTCCTGCTGTCGTTAGCCTGGGACGCTGGCAGGATGCCTGAGGAAGGGCCTAGAAAACAGGCTGCTGGACGTAGTCCTACAGCACAGGATGCTCTCGGCTGTACAGAGCTGAGGGTGACAGGGAGAACACAATGGCACAGCATGGGAAACCACCGTCCGCGATACCTAACATCACCATGAGGTCTCCCAGCTTCTGCATCGGCCCCTGCCCAGCCCAGAGCTTCTGCATCTGCAAAAGCCTTGTTCTCTTCCCCTTGAGTTTCGCTGTCTCTTCCTCACTTGCTGCCGGCCTAAAAGAAACACAAACCAGCCTAAACGCGCGTCGTGCTTACGCGCAGAGGGGCCTCAAGTACGAGAGCCATTGGATGGGTCCTGCGAAGGGACACTAGGCCAAGTCACCTGTCAAACTCCTCAAAGAGCTCCCGGACGGTCATGGCAGAGACTATGGTCACGGCATAGGGCAGGCAGTCGTGCTGCCTGCTCAATGCCAGCATCTTCGCGTAGCGGGGGGCCACAGGGAAAGTGGCCATGACTCTGCCCAGGGGACTAATAGGGCAACTCAGCTTTGCTGCCAGCTGCTGCTTCAGCCTGGGGGAGGAAGGGAAAGTCAGGCAATGAAGTAATTCCTGTGTCAGAAAAAGTCTGTGTGTCTGGCAGCCTCATTAATTTGATGTGTTTTCTCAGATTTCCTTATGTGCTGGTCCCAAAGGCCAGGGGAGAGATTCCTCTTCCTCACACAGCTCTCAGCTGCCCTGCATGGCTCGCTCACCACGCAGCCCTCTCTGCCCACACACCCAGGGCCAGTAAAACACGCACAAGTGAACCAGGGTGGTTACGCAGCGCCAGACACCGTACAAACCACACCCTCAGGCGTCAAGATGGAAAAGCGGGAGGACAGCAGTGCCCGCTGCCTCGACAGCGGAGGAATCAGCAGTGGAGGACCAGACGTTACCTTCCTGTCATAGGGGGTTCCTTCAAGGCACCCAGGGCTATCAGCAACTCCTCAGCTGCTGCAAGTGCTTCTGACGGTGGTGGCGTCGGGAACGGGAAGTTGATTACCTACGGGCACCAAGGGAAAATGCCTCTCAGTACGTTACTGACAGGGTTCCTGCTGGAAAACAGAGCCTGAATGCAGTAAGAAGTCATAGAATCATGGAATGGCTTGGGTTGGAAGGGACCTTTAAGGGCATCCAGTTCCAACCCCCCTGCCATGGGCAGGGACGCCTTCCACTAGACTAGACCAGGTTGCTCATAGCCTCATCCAGCCTGGCCTTGAAGACATCCAGGGATGGGGCATCCACAGCTTCTCTGGGCAACCTGTGCCAGTGCTTCACCACCCTCTCCGTGACGAACTTCTTCCTGATATCTAATCTAAACCTCCCTGCTTTCAATTTAAGTCCTGGAAGGGAGTGAAACTCTCCCCTCTGGTTGCACATACCAAAGAAAAACATTTAGGATGTCTGCCAGGAGCAAGGGGAAGGGACACATAATGGGAGGAAATGCTTAGAACAGAAACATTAAGAAACAGGAATACCAGGGTCACCCTTAGCTGCCACTGACTCCAGGCACCGCCTAAGACAGGCGGCTTCTAGGTCTAACTCCGTGCTTTCTCAAAGTGCTCAGGCAGCTCTTGGAGAGAGCTTTTTTCACTACTGAGAATGTAAGAAAGCTCTTACTGCCTGGACACACGTCTGGTGGAATTCACAGCTGCCTCTGCCATTTGCAAACCCAAAATCAAATGCCAGGATCCTAATTGCTAACGCAAGGAACAGCCTCAAGCCATGATGATAAAAGTCACGTGTGTTTGTTTCTGGCTCCTAGGGGTGGCTGCTTCAATGAGCGCTGTAGTACAAAGCCAATTCATGCCTCACCTTCTCTATATTCAGTGACTTCATCTGCAGAATCAGGTCTTCTACCGGTCGCTTTGTTATTTCCGGAGCAGAAAATTTCTCAAAGTCCATGAAGACCGCTGAAGAGTATAACCTAGTGAGCCAGAAGTGCTGCTTAGAGACTTAAAAGAAACCTTAACTGAAAAGATATGCACGAAAAATGAGCAATGGGGTTAAAAAAGGCAGCTGTGCATTCTGTTTACATAACCATATCATTATTTACATGGCTGGGGCAATACTGCCTTATTCACAGAAGGTTGGCTGGGAGGGGAATCCATGCTGCTCTGGCCAGCGAAATAATGGTTTTCATCATGAGCAAAGGCCCCTGAGAAGCCAAACTGTCCAACATGACCAGTGACAGCTCGTGTTTGCCTTCACCTCTCCTACCGAAATGTCTGCAGCAGCACCAGCTCCTTGTGAAATGGGCAGCAGGATGAGGGAAGCTGCCAAATTCACTGACACCCATTGGGCATCCCGTTTCTGCCACCCCTGCCCGCGGCAGGGAGCTGACCTGTAACAGTGCCCTGGTTCCGTCCGGCCAGCCCGACCTGCCCGTTGGTTGGCCGAAGCCTGGGATATCCAGGTGACCCTGAAAGACGAAACCCCGGTGATTCTGTCGTAGAAGCGCTTCTTGACTTTTCCACAGTCAACCACATATTTGATGCCTGGGATGGTCAGCGAGGTTTCAGCCACGTTGGTGGCTACAACACAGAGTCTCGTGCCAGGAGGAGGAGCCCTGAATACCTGCAAGAAACAGAAGGGGACATGAAATGCCCTGCCAACCACGGAGAAGAGACTGTCAGTCGACCTGGATGGGTCGCAAAGTGGTCACAACGCGTACGACACTGCAGGTGAATCCCAAGAGCGAGACCCAAGACGTCACTGCCTGCAGCCCTGGAGCTCTGCCCAGCTCAGGTAACCCTCAGAAGCATCCAGGGGGCTGCAGGAGGAGCAGACACCAGTGCTGAGTCGTGTTCACACACCGCTGCCACCCCCAACGCCCAAGGAACACCAGAATTTGCAAAAACTGCCTGTGGCAGCAGGATCCTGACACACACCATGGCCATGACTACCCTTAGGTGCTGCAGGGCTCTCACCCTTCATCCCTCCCAACCTGCTGACCAGGAACATTAGGGAGATCCCAGGCACAGCCCGCTCCCATCCCATCCCAACCTGCCTACAGGGCCGTTCAAGTCCAATCCTACTGATGGACAGTCCAAGGCGGGAATTTTAACTCACAAAGCACACGTGATCTTCGACAACGACCACACGTCTCTAAGGATCACTCGCTCCTTGCACCACTAAGTCCTTTACCTGTGCCTGTTTCTCTGGCGCCAGCAAAGAATAGAGCGGGAGCACGTGGAGTGGAAGGGACGAATCCGACTTCTCATCTGTGAGGAAACACACCACCACTGGTAAACACGCGGAGCGTCACTGTCCAGGCTCAGCCCCAACAATGTCTGCACAGACACCGCCTCGTCTGAAACCAGGGAAGTGCTTGGTACAAAGCTGAAGCTGGGAAATCCTCCCCGGGACACAGCCCTGCTGCGTTAACGCAGCGAAGGACAACCAGCTTGTCTCACACATGTCCCGGGTGACAGCAGAGACAGAATTTCTATTTCTTAAGTGCCAAACCTCCTTCTGAGTCTCCATCTCCTAAGTCAAGGTCACTATCGGACCCTGCAATATCGTCATCAGTGTCAGCATCTCTGTCTTCATCTCCTTCATCCACCGGTACGACCGAGTAGCTGTCCAGATCAATTTTGGGGAGCGTCTGAGAAAGACAGGAGACATGACCACAGAGCATTAAAGGGGGGACAGAAACAGCAGTTGGTGTCGCCTGGAGAGCAGAGCTGCACGCTAACTCCCAACGGTCGCTGCCCCGGAGGTCGCAGGGGGATTGAGACATTTCATTTGTATTTTAAGACATTTGATAACAGAGCCGGGGGGAGTAACGCCAAAAATTTCAGTGGTTTGTGCCGAGCCAAACTTCTCCACTTGGAGGACAGTGGGAAAGGGTCAGACCTTTTTACTTCAGGCCCCTTCAGCTACCAGGACGCAGTGTCAGCGGGCAGTGCCTCTGGAACATCAAGATCTCCTGCTGACGAAGCGCATGTAGGACCGGGGCGGAAGCCAAACACTACCCCTGGTCATGATGCATCAGTCCCAGTTCCAGGTAACAAACAGCGAGCTGAGGAGCAGCGCTGGAGCCAGCGAGTCTGGAGCCCCTTCCATTAATTTTTAACGGCCAGTACTCAGCGAAATCGATCTGCCCATGATACCCAGGGACAGATTTTAGCAGTCTATTGCTCACAGTGCAGCAGACACCAGCAGAGGCAGCGTCTGGATTTCATGGGGGGGACGTACGTAGGCTACAAGGCTTCACCTAGTCTAAACCAGCCTTGTGGAACACAGCCATGCAGGAGTGCTGCTCTGCAGGGAGGCACCTGCTCCCTCCTCTCTCTTGGAGGATTTCCAGCCATCACACATTACCTGAACTTTCTTCCGCCTCCTCGACTTCTTGAATTTTCTGATTTCTCCCACTGATTCTTCTTTGTCATCATCTCCCCCTACAAAAACAGCCAGTGGGATTAGTCAGCTTTCCTCTGGGAAGAGGTTGTGGGGAGAGGCTGGTCCCACTCCCATTTGGGGCTTCAAAAAGTGTCACAGTGTGAAATGACGCTGAGGGCAGATGGGCCAAGGATGGCACACAAGATTAATGTTACAGCTCCATTTAGGAACCACAGAGAGCAACACACACAGCAAAACCTTGAGGTTTAGGAGATAATTTGCTGAGCTGTATTAGAATTTGACTCTCTGAAGTTGTCTTGGGCAATTCCACTACCCTGAAAATAAACAGGCACCAACAAGCATTTCCACTTTAATTCACAACCTACAGAGTAAGTGAAGAAATGCAATGGATTCTGGGGAACTGGAAGGGATTATACACACAACCCTCAAAACAGCACAAACTTCATAATCCATCAGCAAAACCAACCACAAAAAGCCCTTTCCTCAGCCCTTGTTTTTAGGTGTTTTAAATAAAAGCTCTTATTCCCAGGTGCAAAGCAAGGTCACTTCTAGTGGGAGAAATTCAAAGTTTATCAGTCCTTTATTGTACAGCATTACCTGCAGAGTTGCTCTTTTGGAATGGGAAGGCTTTCCTTAGCCTTCTACAGAGAGAGTGAACTTCTGCCTGGCCTGTTAAAAACACCAAAATCCCACCTGCAAAAGAAGAAGTCACTCTCAACCTCAGCACAGGCATTTCACCTTGGAAAGCTTCAGACCTCATTCTCACTAAAAGACAGGTCGAACATCCCGTGAAGTAACGGGAGGAGCAGAGTGTTTGACCGCATCTGCCTTCTACAGCTCCTAGAGGAGTGTCATGCTAACCTATCCATGATTTATTTTCCACAAGAAACACCTTCCAAGGAAAAGCACACAACACATCCTCGCAGTCCCACGTTCAACTCGCATAAAAACCTCACCCCACAACAAAACAACCAGCAAAAGCCTCCCCCTGCCCCCCGAAACCTTCAGACTCGTTAGGTGTGAGGGCTCGGAGAGGCTCTGGGCAGTGACCTCACCTGAAGGCAGCATCCGATGGATCTTACACACCTTCCTGAAGCACTCCCCGCTGTAGTCGTCCAGCGGAGTTTTCTTGTTAAAATGGACGGTTACAGGGAACTGCCGTGCGTCCACCTGGAGAGGAAACACAGGGAGAGGGGTTGCTCACTCCCGCACAGTCATCGCGCCTTTCACAGCAGAACTGGAAAGCTCACGCCGTGTTTCTGTTCACATCCTGGTGACCTGCGGAACCCCGGACCCATGGGAGGTATCAGTGCTGTCCTCCCTGAACACCCCAAAACCAAGCTAGAACCCAAAACCTTTCTCTCTTTCGGATCACCAACTCATACTGAGGCTCTCCAGTTCTCCTGGACTGTAACTTCCCGTTTTCCAAGACAATCAGGTTCTGCCGGGGCAGCTTGCTGATCAAAGTGTGAAGAAAACACCAAGTCCCAAAAGACACCATAATCTAACCAAAATAACTATTTTAAAATTGGCATCGGGAAGATTTGGGCACCACCTGGAAAGATGAGAGTGCCCCTGGTTTTAACTGGTTTCAGTCCGGGAGCCCCTCCCTGCGTTTCATCCGTTCAGACGCAGACCCAGTGAGAACGGTACCTGAATGACAGGAGGGGTGACAGAAAAGAGCCTGTTGTTATCGGTGAAGTCCTCGACGCGGAGGGTAGCCGACATGACGATCAGCTTCAGCGGCAGCCCTTTCTGCAGGAACACAAACGCGTTATTCTGTGACGGACACAAACCCGGAGCTATCGGCGGGGTTGGACACCAGTCTGGGCACCAACGCGCTCAAAATCCGAGACGACGAAGGCAGCGTGTCAAGCGTCAGAGGAGACACACAGCTTCCAACAGGCAGTGCTGAGTCCCTCCTCCAAACAGCCCCCTCCCCAGCACATCTTACACAGACCCGCTGCTTCCCTCACCTTCTCACGGAGCGGCACGATGCGGGACAAGAGGCCTATCAAGATATCCGTGTACATACTCCGTTCGTGGGCTTCGTCAATAATAATGACTTTGTACTTGGAAAGCAGAAAGTCCTGGGAAGAGAGATCGATTCCACCATATGAAGCCTCAACAAAGACGTCTTCTAATCAAGACAATCTATGGCTGAACGGCTTTAAACTGAAAAAGGGAGATTTAGATCGGACATCAGGAAGAAATTCTTCCCGAAGAGGGTGGGGAGCATGGGAACAGGTTGCCCAGAGAAGCTGTGGATGCCCCATCCCTGGAAGTGTCCAAGGCCAGGCTGGATGAGGCTTGTAACAACCTGGTCTAGTGAAAGGTGTCCCTGCCTATGGCAGGGGGTGGGGCTGGGTGGGCTTTAGGTCCCTTCCAACCCAAACCAGTCTGTGATTCCCTGATTCTACAGAAACACTGACCGCCCCCCCACTCAAGGCTCTAGTCTCTCCCACATATTTGAGCACAGTTTAATGTGCTTACCCTACAGGAAACACCCTAGTTCGAGACTCTCTTCCTTGCTCCCATTTTACACAGCAACACAACCTAATGTGTAGGGACGTGGGCAGGAATACAAGGGGTCGAGATGAAATACATCTCCGGTGCTGAAAGGGATCTTACTTTGAAAGGCTGGTGACAAATCCAGACAAAGCAACTGGCTACTCTCCCCAGCTATTCAAAACACTTCCCTGTTTGTAACTCTGGGGGCATCATCCTACCTTCTGAATCTCCTTCAGCAGCACACCGTCCGTCATGAACTTGATTAGTGTCTCATCCGTAACGTTGCCTTCATACCGGATCTGATACGAAACCACTCTGTGAGGCAAGCAGGGGAAGAAAGAGAAAGCCCACGTTCAGAGCAGGAGGCAGCCTGCAGCCTAACTGGATTAAGACCTGATGCCAAGCCAAGACAAAAGCACACCGTCGCCTGCCCAGAGCCCAGCGCACCCCAAACGCTAGCAGCTGGCATGTACGGCAAGGTCACTTGGAATTGTGTCCCTGTTACGCATGGAGACAAACTAGGATCACTTCCCACACAGCACCTCCGCAAGGCTCTCTCTGAAAAGTAACTTACAACCATTATGAGGAACAAATCTGCATATTTTTTTAACAGACAACCCCACAGTGGAGTTTGTAAGTAACTTTCCCACAGTTCCTTGCCACAGACTGAAGCAGCAACGCCTGAGTCTGGTTTCAGCCTCTGACACAGCACCTCAGCGCTACCTTCCCAGCAAAGTCTGGGCTTCTGCTCTCCTCACCTCTGAGACAAGTTCATTTCCTTCGCCACTCGCTGGGACATGGACACTGCGGCCACGCGCCGAGGCTCCGTGATGCCAATGGCCCCGTTTGAACTAAAGGGTGAAGGAAGGGAAAGGTGTTCGGCCACTTTTTTGAAAGAGAGAAACACTTAGAAAAACGGCAACAGGATTCCTGCAGAATGCTTCAAAAGTAGCATCACTCCCACAGCCTCGCTTCTGGTTGGAAGGAAAAGACAGAAGGAAGCTTTGGGATTACCCCTCTATTACAGGTGTATTGATCTGGAATTCTTTCCCCAGACATCTCTGCAATCCCAGCTCACTGAACACCCGTGGAAAGACTTTTGCAAGTCTCAACATTACCCTTTCAGATTTTTTAAAAGCCCATTCAACGCGGCCAGTGCCACAGCACAGAAAAGCTCAGGTTCAGCTCAGCCATATCAGAAGGAATGAAATGATATCAGTGGTGACTGAGCTCAGCGTGAACCCTCCCGACTACATAAAAGATGACACCTACCTGGCATAGCCAGCTTCATAAAGAAACTGAGGTACTTGTGTGGTTTTGCCGCTGCCTGTCTCTCCACATATGATGACAATGGGATTCTCATTAATGGTTTCCATGATGACTTGCTCTTCAGCAAGAATTGGAAGCTTCAGTCTTGCTTCCTAAATAATATAAACCGTGTATTTTAGTTGCACTCCTTTGTCTCTCGCTCCCTTTTTGTTTTCTCCAGGACTGAAAAGTGGTACCTTCTGCAGATTATAAACCCCACACAGAATTCCCCAAGCTCTGGGGCTCAAGAAGCTCTAAACCAGCTGATAACACACCAGCACATCCAAGTCACCAGGGCAGCTTCCCAGAAAGCAGCTGGAACTGGTGAAACTTTGGGTCCCTTGAGTTTACTAATATAGCACTTCAGGCAAAATCTCATTTCACAACTCCGTCTCGTCTGTTCAGACACAGGCAGAGCTTTTCCCGTTTCTACACCAGCCCTTACTTACAGAAAACAGAGTAAAATTGCCCTGCCCTGCCTAGGACACAGCGTAACGCAGAGCTGCAAGTGACTTCACAAGGTTTCCCAGCAAAGAACCACAGAAGAGTGCTAATAGTTTCTGTATTTAAAACCGCAGACAAAGCTTCCATCCTCCAACAAAACTAGTTTTCCTCCTGCTAGCTCAGACGGGCTGTAAGCTCTGACGTGTACAACTTGCTGGAACAAGGCCTCAGCGCACGCTGCTGCCGCACAGCGTGAGCAGGAGGCACGAGGCAATGCCAGTGTCTGCAGCGACATAAGCTGATGCAGGACACCAAAATTCCCAGCTCCCTCAGCGCTCACAGGCCTCACCTGAATCTCAGGAGACCTGTCCACTGGGATGAAAACCGCAGGCTTGCGGGGAGGTTTTGGGGGCGCTGCCTGGCAAACTGGCGCAGCAGGAGCAGCTGGCTGCTGGTCAGACTCTGCCTTCCTCACGTCACCCTCGGGCTTCTCAGCAGCATTCACGTCACCAGCTGAGTGATTCTCAACTTCTTGTTTCTGCTCTTCCTCCTCAGAGCTACTGGGTTCTTCCTCAGGCTCCGATTCAGAATCTGAGCTGTGTCTTCTCTTGTTTGCACCGCTGATGCTCCTGATCTTCTCAGGTACCACAGTCACCGGCTCCTGTATCACCCTAGAACAAAACATCCACATGGGAATTAGGTTTCGGACAACGTTCTCCAGGACCTCAAGCTAGACATGTCTTCCAGAGGAGGTTAGTGGGAGTGCTTAACCCAGTTCCCAAGGATCTCCATTCCTGGAGTTGACAGCTCTGCCAGGTAAATCCTCAGACACCTGACTGCTGGACTCCTATCAACACACAGCCTACGCTGATGTTTATTGATTCCTTGAGGAGACACCTTCGTCATCTAATTTATTTCAGTTTCTGCCAAATTGAGCTCCTGCGAAACCCAGTAACTAAAGACCACAGGGGTCAATGGTTTCCAACCCAACAACAAACGCCTATCCACCAACTATGTAAGTTAGCATCATTGGTAAGAGTGTGCAGATAGAACCGTCACCCTCCCTGTGCCTTATTTAAGGGAAGAGCAGGTTATTTCAACTATCATCCTCTCCTCAGGAGAACAACTGCCGTATTATCTGATGCCATCCCCTCTGAAGAACCTGTATGCAGTAAGAAGCAAAAAACCCCCATAAATTGGGAAAAAAAAAAAAAGCAAGGAAGTTGCCAAGTTTTCAACCACAGCGAGAAACCAGAACGGTTCTTTCCAAATAAGGCTTTACCTTTTAGCCTGATACATGCGCTCCCCGGTGCCCAGTTTGGAAGTGGTGTAGAGGAGTTTCATTTCTGCCGCGGAAGCTTGGACCTCATTCAGCTTGCTCAGCCACTCAGCTCGCTATTTGGGAAAAACAACCAGAATCAGTGCTTATTTCACCAGGAAATTATTTCATTTCCAGATCTGCACTTGAGTTTAAAGGGCACAGGCCGGCAAATGCGGCTGTGAAATCGTAGACGCTCCTGCTCTACGTGGTCAGTCCTCTCCGATTAAGACTTCGGCCCTGTGCTACAGCAAACACAGAAGTAACGTGGACTTGACCCTTCATCGCTACAGCGACACGCTCAGCTGCTCCCTTCAACCACCCACAAAGGTAACGGATTTGAACTAAAACGCTGGAGCCTCCTTTCAACTCCCTCGGGTGGGACAGTGCTGGCAGGAGGTCAGACAGCAGCAGTTTTAAATCACTTCTAAAAATCGAGGTAATTTGTGAATGCCATTAATCAGACACTAGAACGAAGAGGAATTTTGCCTGGGAAGCTTTTACAGAGACAGAAAAGCTGTATTTGCATGCAGAAAACATACAAGAGCTGGAAATAAATACTGCAGAAGCAGCAGCAGAGTTGGGGTGTATGGAGCTTGGGATTTTGCAGGAGGACAAAGCTTCTCACGCCACGTTTCACAGAATGCCTTAAATCACGTCATTCGCTCTGCGAGCGATGTATGCCCCAACTTGGTCAGGGTCAAACAGGAACCAGCATGCAGAAACACTGCGTCCCTGCAACGCCTGACCCACGGAGAGGGAGGGAAACGCTTTTCCACACTGGTTATGCTCCGGAGTCCATGGCTGGGGCATATTTTTGCCAAAATGCCCAGCAAAGGCACACCTAACGCTGTCGTGGCATAAACTCTTTAAACCTCAGCACCTGCAGGTCCTTGGGATGCCCCAGACAGGTCATGTCACATCAGCGCTCCCCGGCACTGCGCAGCGCTCACTCCACCGCTGGCTCTTCCCACCAGCAACGCAATCACGTCACGTACTGGGGATTGCCGGTGAGGGGAAATCTCTACAGCTGCTCACTGACATCGACCTTTCCCACACACCCTCATTAAATTCTCATTTTACCACACACCACGAAGCTGGAGTCCCAAAAAGCAGCAGCCTACCTGTTTTTTCTTTTCCTTCAGCTCTAAAACCTTCTGAAGGTTTTTCTTCTGTTTCTTGCTTAGGGGTTTCTTCTGTTGTTGCACAACACAGGCAACTTTTTCCTTCTTGGCTTTTTTTGATGGCAGGACCAGGGCGTTGCTTCCATCGATTCCCTTCAGCGTTGCTTCATCTGAAAGCATGACCTCCGTTACCCACCCGTGCCAGGACGATTATTTTCAGCTCACTGCCCGACAGCCATATCACAAACCTCGCCAGATTTAGCCGTTTTAAACAAACACAACCCCCATCCCCAGCCAAAAAAAACCCATCCTATGCCATCGGCAGAGGCAAAAGACCACAAAACTGGGGAAGCCTGTGCTGCCTGTAGCCGTGAGGGTTGTTTTCCCTGACTTATGTAATGGCACTGTGCAATTCTGCCTTTTTTTTTTTACCCCTTCCAGGGTCAGGGGCAGTGGAGCAGCCCAGGACACGACTCACCTTGGGTGACCCTCAGCCTCCTGCCTCTCCCAGACGATAAACAGTTTTTAATACTAAAAATACGTATTAATGAGGTTTGAATAATAAAAGTAGTATAATAAACCTGATTTTATAAGTGGCATTTTAAAATGCGAACGTTAAATATAAAAGTATTTTTCATAATTGCTTTAACGAAGTGTTGCTTAAATGCAGTATGGGCTTTAACGGAGCTATTAACGTGAAGCCGGCAGGATACCTTTACACACCAACTGTAACGCTTCCAATGGAAGAACAATAAAGCTACAGCAAAGACACGACAATAATTCTAATCCCAGCACGCCCACGGCCACTCTACCAC